TTAAGACAAATCTAATGTTTAGGAGAATACTTTGTCCACTGGTGATATTTTTAAGTGTATCAAGGAGCCTATTATTTAAAATATAGAATGATGAAATATTGTTCGGTTAATGCCAGCTTAACCAAGGTATTTTTTGAATTATGTGCTTTTTACTTCTGCTGTTATAAGGAGTACTCTGTACTCACCATTGTACCTATAAAAACTTAATTAACTTAATAAAATGGTCATATCCCAGTCCCTTGTTACTGAGGTGATATTACTATTTTTCCCCCAATCGAGGGAGGCCGAATCTCTGCAGTGAACGGTGTGTTCCCAGAGTCATGCATGCCCCAGTACAAGGTTTCATTTGTTTAAATAACATTGTTTATACAAAGGACACATCAAAGTTAAAATATTTTAAATAGAATAATGCCAAAATATTTGGTTGCACACTGAAGGATGACTTCAATGTATTTGAGCATTTCGAGTTTTCAAAAACTTTAGCTTTTAAATGGACATGTTTTCCAAGATATATCCTCCAAGTGGGTCTGGGAAATGAGCAAGTGTTTGACCTATTTTTTTAAATGATAGGCCTCTTTGGTGGTTTGCAAGTATTTTACTATTGAAGTTAATACTAACAAGGGTTGTTTGTGTAGCTGACATTCTGCCAAATGTTTTATAGGATGAAGTAGCAAGTGATATGCCGTCAAGTCTTAATTTAGGAAACAAATCCAAACCCAAACCCTTTACTTTCCCCTCAGTGCGGTGAATTCCTGTAAGATTGAGGCAGCTGTGGGGTGCTTGGTTCACCATGGGAGTTTACTTGCCAGAGCAGATTCAAGGCTTCTGCAGAATTTTTAAGCATAGGCTCCATGAGGTGCATGCTTCCTAAAGCCCCCTAAATGCCTACTGTTAATAAATTGAGGCCTCTCTGTAAATGAACTCAGTTGGCATCAGTAGGCCTGGAATTAGGAATTTAGTTGGAAGAGACAGGCCTATTTGCTTTGTGGTTTGGGAAATATAATGTTGCCCTTTTCTGGTTTTCAAAATTCATATCCATATAAAACTCTCAACATAAATATTTATTTTTTGCCCTATTTCCAAAAGGAAGAAAGAAAAAAACCTTTAGCTCAATAAGAATCACCTGTAGCCTGAACTTGGGGCTTAAATAAATACCTCCACATTAACAAGTTTTCATTAGCTACACCCTTCAGATGAACACATCGAACATTTATTGACTTCTTCCCAGATGCCAGGAAGCCTTTTATTTCAGGCTTAATGATCTGTCCACCACCTCATCCAAAAGCAAACTGGCTGGTGCTTCCCACTGTCACACACATCATCCTGAAAAGGCCAAATGGAAAAGAAAAAAGGACAACACATTCTCATAACAAAGTATAAGTGTGTCCCAAACATTATTGAGGACTGCTTATACTAAAATTTTATTTGCTATTTACCTAAAATTCCAATTTAATTAGATGTTCTATATTCTATTGGCAAGCAAAGCCTGTGGACAAGGCCACGCCATCAAAATGTCGTAAAAAAGGAGGGAAAATGTTTTTCAGAAACTTTGAAAGTATTAAGCATAAATAAGAACATTTTAAATGCTGATTCAGATCATTGCTATAACTAGTAATACAATATTATATAATCCATCATTATATAAATTAATGAGTCTCTATACCAGTGTAAGTTGAACTTTTTTTGTTGCTCAAATGTTTTCCCATTTAATGTTTTACCCTTGTTTCTGATTAATCTTCAGTTGATTCTTGATCCATTTTAACTTTCTGTGGTCCCAGGGTAAGTTAATAATCTATCAGGAATTCTTGAGTAGTACCCCATTATGTGGGTCCTTTTATAAAACAAGAGAGTCTTTTTTGGAATTTGAAGATTTTTTTTTGTATTTTGATTAATCACTCCTGATTTGTCAGTTTTAGGCATTCAGATTTCTATACAGGCATAGTTCTTTGAAACTGAGCACAAATAATTTCCTCTTTTATAGTTCATAATTGAAAAAAATCATAAATAGCATAAGCAGCTCATTTTTTTACATATAAGTAGTTCATTTCTTTAAATGGAGTGATTTAAAGATTTGGAGGGTTTTTGGTTTGTTTTTAAAGAAAAAGGGAAAGAGAACTTCATAAGGAAGTCCAGTTAGAAAGTCTTTCAGAAGAAATGATAAATTCAGAATACTCCCCTGTTCTTTTTCAGTCTTCCTGGGGGAGATGTGAGTCCCAGGGAGCATGAGTCCTTTGTGAAAACCCAGAGGAGGTGGGCATTGACACTTAAACACTGTAGGAAGCTGGCCAGAGAGAATGAGCTTTGAGGCAGTTGCTCAGCTCTCAGGCTGAAAATGACTGTACCATTCAGGGCATCAAGGCTTCATGTTGATGTGGGCTGTTTATTTTGGGGCCTTCCATTTCACAGTGGTACAGTTCTCAGCTGAAGTCCACCTGAAAAAATAAGGATTCTTTCCCCTTCTTAAAATGACCTAATTCATTAAAAAATTAATGAAGACTTCTAGGGACCAGATCCTATTTTAGGCACCCAGGATCCATGGTGAACAAGCCAAGCAAAGGCCCTTGCCTCCTGCAGATGACATTGTATCAGAGAAGACAGGCAGTAAATAACAAACACAAGAAGCAAGTTCTCCAGTGTGTGGATGGCAGTAAACACTGTGGTAGGGAGTGAAGAACAGGGCAGGGGTCTGCATTCAGGCTTGGGAGGGACTGCATTGTAAACTGGGAAGTCAGGGTGGAACTGAGCAGTGATATTTGAGCAAAGACTTGAAGGGGATGTGAGAGTGAGCCACTGGGTGCTCTGCAGGAGCAGTGTTCCCAGCAGAGAGGGAACAGCCAGCACAAAGGCTCTAAGTCCCTGCTTGTGTCTAACCTGGGGTTCTCAACCCATGCTAATTTTTCCCCCAGGGGACATATGGCTATGCCTGGAGACACTTCAGTTTGCCCCTACTGGGATAAGGGGTGGAATACCACTGGCATGTCCTGGTTAGAGGCCAGGGATTCAACTAAATGTCCTACCAGGCATAGAATGGGACAGCCTCTCACAGCAAAGAATGATTTTGGCCCAAAATGGCAGTAGTGCTGAGTCTAAGAAACCCTGTGTCTGAGGGGCAGCAAGGAGGCCAAGGAAGGGGCAGACAAGTAGATGAGGTCAGAGGTGACAAAGGCCGGTGGGGTGGGGGTGGCCAGGTCAAGTAGGGCCTTAGGCCAGTGTAGACTTTTGCTTTTACTCCAAGAGAAATGGGGGTCGTTGGAGGCTTTGGAGCAGTAGAAGGGCATTAACAGTTACAAGAGTGTCATCTGGCTGTTGGGTGGAAAAATAGGCTGAAGGAGGATAAGGCTGAAATGAGGAAGTTTAAGGGCTGCTGTTGTTACCCAGACAAGAGATGATGGGGCTCAGACCAGGGTGGAAGCAGCTTCATGACTTCTTTGCAACAGCACCATTCAAGGTCGAATTTTAGGTATCAGGTGACACAGTGTTCTTGGGATTCCACACGATCCCCACTCTTTTCATTACTATATATCATATATTTTATGCATTTTATATAATATCTATCCAGAGATGATACATGGACAAATATGGTTAAGTCACCTTAGCTGAGTTCTTTTACACAATAGGATAACTGATATTTATTGTAATAATCAGTTCATGACAAAACAATCTGACATGGTCAGGCACGATGTAATCTGCCTCTGCCTTAAAATGGCCATGGTAAGGAACAGTCACTCTTGTAAACAACTCTTTTGTGGTACATTTTTCTAAGCCATACATAATCCTAAATGAACTAAATTGCCTGAAAATGGGATGAGGAGAGTGTCAAAGGTCTAGTACCTAATAAAAAAGTGATTGAATTTCTTTCCTCTTTTAGAAATGTATTAAATCATTCAAATAGTTATTCTTCTCTTATTGATCAGCCATAGTAAATGCAGAAACGGCAGAAAACATGAAGAGGTTGCTCACTTATGCTTTTACCCAAAGGTCTCTGACATCTTAGAAGCATCACCTCAAAATGCTATCACGGATGTGTAGCCCCCCTAAAGTGCACATCTCTTGTCCTGTCTGCAACCAAAGATAGTGCGAGCCATGTGACAGCCTGTTGCAGAGGCTGGTCCCTGCCCTGGGGTCAGGCTGCACCTGTCCACAGACAGTATCTCCTCCTATTTATCACTGTGATACATGTAAATGTCATTGTACAGTAGTACCATTTTTTTTTAAGTCATGCTGTTCTGAGGAAGTGGTAAATTAATCTCCTTGTTGGTGAAAAATAGGCTGTTTTTCAGTCTCTTAATGTTTTTTAAGGCAGTTGTGAAATACAGTTGAGTTCACGAGCTTTTCATTTGTTCTGCCGGTTCTCAGCCCACTGAGCCATGGTGTTGCACTGGGGAGATTTCAGGGAAGAGCACCGGGTATTCCAGATGAAAGTAGCAATGTTGGAAGTCTTCTCTATCCAAGATGATCCCTTCTTCATCCTCTAAGACAGGGTTTCTTCAGGTATGATCAGTAGATTCCCTACATCAGAATTCCTCCAGGACTTGTTAAAAATTCAATTCCTCAGGGTAAGGCCAAGAATCTGCATTTCAGTGAGCCTCCCAGCTCACAAATATTCTCATTTGCACTCATGTCTGAGAACTGCTATGCTCACACTATGTTGTTAGACAAGAAAAGTGGCCCTCAATGATCAGTCAGCCTGCTCACAGCAACCTCAACACAGACTTGTTAAAAATGGCAGATCTTATCCAAATAGATATATATGCCTCTAAAGATTTGCTTTCTATGTGAAAGTGTTGCCCGCCGTGGTAGACTCCTCTTCCCACTGAATAAGTTTCCCTCGGCAGAGTTTCTGTTCTAGGGAGATTATGGTGGTCACTTCACTTGGCAAGTGGAAAGTTTCCCTGTGGGGCCAATCTTGGCTGACTTCGGAGGCACTTTGATCTAGATGCCTGCTTGAAATGATCATAGCTGTTGTCTCATGTGACCTTTTCCGTTTTCTTGTTGAACAGCCAATATGCCAGAGGATTATCCTGATCAGTTTGACGATGTCATGGATTTTATTCAAGCCACCATTAAAAGACTGAAAAGATCACCAGATAAACAAATGGCAGTGCTTCCTAGAAGAGAACGGAACCGGCAGACTGCAGCTGCCCACCTGGAGAACTCCAGGGGTAAAGGTCGGCGAGGCCAGAGGGGTAAAAACCGGGGCTGCGTTTTAACTGCGATACATTTAAATGTCACTGACTTGGGTTTGGGCTACGAAACCAAGGAGGAACTGATTTTTCGGTACTGCAGCGGCTCCTGCGAGACAGCTGAGACAACGTACGACAAAATCTTAAAAAACTTATCAAAAAATAGAAGGCTGGTTAGTGACAAAGTAGGGCAGGCATGTTGCAGACCCATCGCCTTCGATGACGACCTGTCATTTTTAGATGATAACCTGGTTTACCATATTCTAAGAAAGCATTCCGCTAAAAGGTGTGGATGTATCTGACTCCGGCTCCAGAGACCGCTGTGTATTGCATTCCTGCTACAGTGCAAAGAAAGGGACCAAGGTTCCCAGGAAATGTTTGCCCGGATGGAAGATGAGGACCAAGGCAGCAGAGGAGGAGCAGCAGGAGGAGGAAGGCAGCCGTCGTGGGAGCCTGGTAGAGGGGGATCCAGCTGCAGACAGCGGGACAGGAGCGAGAGAAAACCGCTGTCTGGATCCTCCCGGGCGGCAGCTGATGCCACCAGCAGCTCAGGGCTGGTGTCCCTGGATGAGCGTTGCCATTGTCGTGCCTGACACAGCCCACCGTCCCTGGTCACAGGCACAGTTGCGGATGCACTTGAAACCAAACCAGTGTATCTCCTGTGGTTTGTTTTCACATGTCTGGAGACACCAGGGAAACGGTAATCCCGGTGTCATTCCTTGTCATTATGTTTTACTGCTGAAAGCAAGAAAAGTTTATTTTTCTGTCACTCAGTGGAGACATACCCCGGAAAGGGAAAAAAAAAAAAAAAGCAAAGACACAGAGATAGTAACCTTTGAATTTGAAATTTGAAGCCTGAGGTTTACTACAGCCAGGAGTACAGTTTTTGTGAACGGCTGGTGATTGATTTTGAACATGGTGTGTGGGTGGAAAGAAGTTGGCTAGGAACCAAAAAGGCTGTCCTCATGACTAAAAACAAACCTGAAGGTATTTCCTTTATGTTCTTGGAAACAGGAAACCAGTTGTGGTTTTCGGCAGCATTCTTGCAGGAGAGCAAGTGGGGAGGGCCCCCAGCTGCACAGGGCAGCAAGACCCGCCCGCCGGGCCTGTCGGTTTACAGAGAGACAGATGTTACATACACCCAGCTCCATTTAGGCGTGGTCACCAGTGACCAGAGAAGCTACTCGATGCAATGCATCTGTTTCAGATACAGAAATATAGAGAAGATATTTATTGAGATTTAAGTTATTGTTATTTATTACTATTCACTAATGAGTTTCTCTGTTTTCCCTTATTTATTAAAGTTTCTTTTCAAAGGTGCCAAAGTATTATGTGTTCGCAAAATGCATAGAAAAGTAACAAAGGAAATTTTAATTGGGAACAAGGGTCCATGCTTTTCAAAGTATTAAAAAGTGTTTCATGAGGCAAAAATCACTTACTTTACCTTTTTAAGTAAAGCCTTCATTAATTTCCCCCATTTCAGCTTCTTCCCTATTTTTACTTTTTTAAAAAGGAATGTGTGAGAAGGAGTGCTTCTGACAGCATGCAGAGCTCATCAGCATGTAGTTTTATTTCTTCTTTGCTCCATCACCAGATATGCCATATGCCATATGGCCCACTTTGTGTTGTATTTAAGCTCTTACTTCCCTCCACCTGTATCTATCTATGATATGCATAGCTGCATAGAGGAAAGGCATAGAGGCCCGTGTGCAAGGCACAGGGCCCTGCTTGGAGCTTATTCCACATTTCATAAAAGGGATTTTTATCAAGACCATCTATCACTACCTTAGTGGCTGCCACCCAAAAGTATCACAGATTTAGCAATTAAATGACTTACTGGCCTCCTTCAAATAATCATGTTAACTTTACAAAGCAACCAAGAAGCAGTAGTCACATCGCTTTTCCCCAGCCCCCAAAGACCCAAGTTCTCCATCATTCTGCCCCACTTTGTCTTTTCTGCTCCCCTTGCAAACTCAAAAATAGAGGAAAAGGGCCTCCCTCCCACCCTTTCCTGGGGCCAGAGCAGGGACTTTGCTGAGAAGTAGCCTGCTCAAAAAAGTGACAGACCCAGCCATCTGGTCATTCATGGGGCACAATTTGATGTAACACCAGGATAATCTGTAAGACTCAGTTCTAGCAGATTTGGTGGCTGGTGTCCCCAGGTGTCGACCTCAGCAAGTCCCCAGCTCCCCATGAAGAGTCCCGACCCACAGGGACTTTAGGACTGAATGGGTGTTGACAACGTGTTCCCAGCATCACCTACGCACCATAAGCAAGTTTTAACTGAAGAAATTAGTCCACCAAATCCACAAAAGGGTAAAGTTCGTGATTTTTCTTTACCATTGTGATTACCACCTGATCCAGTCAGGGGTGCACTTCTTTGGAAGTTCTGACTTCTCTGATCTGTCTCGGTCGTTTGTGTTACTCAACCAAAGTTCTCTACAGACTTTATTTTTGTACAATATCGTTTTGTAACTTTTTACAAATAAAAAATAATTTGTATTGCTCTCCGTACTTCTGTACTTCCTCACGTGACCATGGACCTCAACTGGGCCAGCCAGCCATCCATAGCATTCATCATCCGGGCCTTGAGCTAGAAGGCCATCCTCTTCATCATCATCCAGCCACTGGTTGGCCAGTGGCCCTGCCCATCAACTCTTTACAACCAATCACCATCCACGTGAGAATAAACCTGCAAATCTCTTCATTCATTCATTCAACAAATACTTAGGGTGTGCCTTCACCGTGCTAGGCACTATTCGAGGCACCAGCAATCCAAAGTGGCCAAAACAAAAATCTCTGCCCTCACAGAGTTGATATCTTACTTGAGTGGAGACAGACAATATTAAAAAAAGTAAAATACGTAGTGATCCAGGTGATGATAATGCTATCAAGAATACAAACAGGACATTATAATAGAATATAACAGGGGGCCTGCTTTAATCAGAGGTGACAATGAGGCAGCACTGAAGAAACAGTGCCAACAAAGAGAGAGCATCCTGGCAAGACCCTGAGGCAGGTGAATACTTGTACACATCCACCACTTTGCACAGTTATGGGTGACACCATTCACATGAGTTTTCCAGGGCAATGTGGCAGAATCCCTAGAATTGTGCAAATGGTGGTCTTGACCTTAGTGTATTCTGATGGCAAAAAAAACATACCGAAGAGAGGAAATGCCACTGCCCTGGGTTGGGGGAGGGAGGCATGCTTCCACCTCAGATGACACACATCCCTTTTTATGTCACAGGCAGCCTTGTGACTATTAAAAGGTGACCTTATGTGGCATTTTAAACCCAAACCCAAACTCTGATGCTCTTAAGACTCTTCTACATGGCCACCAGCCTAGGCTTTCCAAGAGATGGCATTTGACCCAGCACCAGGCTTTGCCTTTCCCTTCTGATGCTTGCTGACCCTTGCACTGAGGCTCGATGGGGTCTCTGGTGCCCACCTATGGGCTCTGGCCTTTAGACTCCTCCTGCCAGGGCAATGCTGAGGCCAGCTGCACTTTCTCTAAGCCAAATTATGGTACAAAGTTAGTGACTTGGAGAGGAAATGTAAAGATTGTAAAACTCTTGCTTCCTTCACTCCCTTTTTAGGGAGTGTGCCCAGGATGACTAACCAGGTGAAATGCTCCTCAAAAAAATAGGATGAAGTGGTTCTCTGAGCAAATAAGGTTAGAAAACATTGAGTAAAATAACATGAAACAGTTTTTTTTTTAAGTTAAAAAGAGAAGTCTGCAACTGATCAGAGTCTTTACTAGACTAATGCATGTCTTGACAGGCCAGGAGTGGGTATGTGCAGAATTCCCCAGATGCACGAAACTGCCTGTGGTTTTGTTTTCTTTCTCACACACCTATTTATTGTTCCTTGAAACCCTTGGGCCATGTTGCCTGCTCCTGAAGGTATGGGGATGAGCAGAGATGGGGACTGGGGATCAGTGCAGAGGCAGAAACTGCTGGGCAGCTCCCCTGGGAAAGACACTTCCCCACCTCCAAACCATGCAACCCCCCCGAGATGCACGCACACACACACACACACACACACACACACACACACACACACACACACACACACACACACACACACACACACACACAGAACATTTGGGCACTGTGGTTTCTTGCTCAGCATGATCAACCAGTGTTCAGCTTTGGAAATTTCCTTTCCAAAGGGAGAATGTGATAATGAATTTCTCCCAAGAAAGGGAGAATGTGTTGAGAGTTGGGAAATTATTAGCAAAAATAAAGGGAACTTTCACCCATGATAACTGAAAACCCTCACCAGGCTTAAATTGTTTTGAACTTCCACAGCTTTGGCTGGTCTGTAGTCTTAAGGGATTGACTCTCCCCAGCAGTGGTCCTCAGAAGGAATACTTTCATGGGGCTCCAGCTCTGAATTCCTTGCTACTGAGAATGGTGCGGAAGCATTAGATTAGTAGGAGCCCGGGCACCAGGCTCAGACATGAGATGGTGGCTTGTGCCCATGAGATCATCTCAGGCTGTTTTCTCCTGTGTGACCAGAACTGAATAAAGTGAAGTTTTCGAAGAACATTTAAAAGAACCAATCCACTCCCACAGTAAATGTGGAAAATCAGAATTTCCTAAACCTAAGTCTCAGAAACAGAAAGCCCCCTTTCACATGCAGGGACCCGCATGGGCCATGGCTGATTTGCTATCCAAACCCAGAATCATGGGGAAAATGGAGCCCAGAGCTCACACTGTCCACCTTTGCTTCTCAGAGCACAATGGCAGGGAGGGGATGTAGGTGTCAGTCATGGGCTTTGGGCTTTTTTCCATCAGGAAATGAAGTGTCTGAGTCCCAAACATCTTCTTGGGCCACAACTTCATTAACAAAAGCGTTACTGTACCCCATGCAATAGTTAACTCGACTTGTCTTGTCACACAACATCCTGAATGAAATTAAAACCAAATGCCGCCAAGCCATCCCTGAAAATAGATAGTTGGAAAATAAAGGGAAAGCACCCATTTACTCATATGTGACAACCAGTACACTGCCACCTCCCAGCTGGGGCTGGTGAGGGTGATGACGATGGAAGTGCAGCTCTGGGGAGAGGATGTGCAGTGACAGGCACATGGAGAATGCCAGAACACCACAGACAGCAGCAGGTAAAAAAAAAAAAAACACAAAAAAAAAACTTAGAGGAAAATGAGTCAGGGACAGCTACAAAGTAGGGGTGCCAGATAATTTGAATTTCAGATAAACATGTGTAATTTCTTGGGATGACTATGTCTCGTGCAAGATTTGGGACATACTTACACTAAAATGATTACTCATTGTTTATCTGACATTCCACTGAATGTCCTGTATTTTAATTTGCTAAATCTGGCAAGAGAAAGTGACATTTGAGCTGGGCCTTGAGGATGAGCAAGAATCTGTCAGGTGGACAGAGGAAGAGGCGGGGTGGAGTGGTAAGGGACAAACATTCCACGAGGAAGGAACAGTGTGACCCAAAAGGGCAGAAGGGCACTGTGCATCCAATGAGCAGTGGGCAGGGGGCTGGGCTCCAGGCTGGCTTAGTCATTAGGCACAGCAGACACCTTGCCTAGGCTTCATGAGACTGAGAGGTCCAAAAAATATTTTAATATTTTTAAGTCAGAAGAAAAATTGAATATAATAATAATGTATATATAATAATAAATCCAGCCTGGATTATATTCCACTTTACATACAAAGGCAGTCATGTAATTTTAGGTATTTTTTTTCGAGAAGGGGGCCCCCAAAGACAAAAGTGTCTAGGACCCACACAAGTTGTAATGCAGCCCTGGGCGTGCTGCCAAGAA